TAAATTAAGGTTCATCACAGACTGTAGAGCCATGACATCACTGGTACCTGTCCTCTCAGGTGGGATGGCCTTCCCTCTCTACCAGAAGGCAGTGTCATTGCTACGCTTTGATTTTTTAATCTTAATTGGATTTTTTTTCCTGGTTAAATAAAGGTAAAAAAAAATGCATTTATTTGAAGAAAAAATTACTTATTAGATTTCATTTTTTTGCAGTTTGGTGTTAATGTGGTAAAGCTAAAAGTTAGTCCAGTAAAAGCCAAACATGTTGCTTCATGTGGTCGTCCTGAAAAACATCATCTTAGCGCTGAACTACGGTTTGAAAATGGCTGAAGATAAACTGCTAAAGACAGCATGTTTACTTAGCCTGACGTAGTCCGACTCAATTCTAGTCAGAATGAGTCTGATGCTGCTCCATAGAGCTGTGATTATGGGGCGTGTTTCGAACAAACCAGGAAAAAAAATGCCTCTGCACTCAATTGGATAGACCTACAACCAATAAGAGCAACGGAGTGCGTGACGTGTGTTAAGCGACGCATAGTTGTTGTCAACAAAAATCAAAGCGTGCAGTTGCACGCCTAGAATAAGAAGATGAGACTTGATGGCGTTTCTCTGTTCCTCTTTTAAAATTAATTTGCTGTCGATATCTTCTAGAACAGACCTAATAGCAGAATCTACACGCCTCAACTCTCCAGCGGCAGCCATTGTTGTTGTCACCCAAGCGCGCATTGGTGACGTGGTTGATTACGTTACTGTTGATCATCTGTCCATCATCGTATAAAGCCCGCCCTGACAATTTGATTGGATCGCCAGATATTGTGCTAGCATACTCGCGCTACTATTGAGCAATGCCAGACCGAACATCCCGACCTCAAACCTTATGGGCGGGACTAAGTTCGGAATGGCACCCAGGCTAATGTTTACTGCCACACTGCAAAAAATGTAAATCTCAAAAAGTCTTCTTTTTTTTTCTCAAAAACAGTGCATTTTTTCTTAAAATAAGTAGGTAATCGAGAAACTTTGCCAATGGAACAAGACATTTTACATTGAAAATAAGAAAAAACAAGAATTTTGTCTAATTTCAAGCGCATAATATCTAATTATCTTATTTAGGAGTTAAAATACTCATTCAATTGGCAATCTATCTTATTTACCTGCTCAAATTAAGGGTGAATACACTTAATTTAAAAACATTTTTACAAATTTTTAGGTCGTTTTTGCAGTGCATTAAAATAAGATCCTGCCCCTGATTCAGGAATCCATGACAGAGGTCAAAGGTTAAAGCTTTAACAGATCATTTTTCTTTATTTCGCTGGAAAAAAGAAGCATAAAGGAGGAGAACTTTTCATGCTGAGTTCACCTTAAAGCAGAAACATCTCATCTCTGTGTTTTTGCCTCATCAGGTGAGAGAAGAAAAGCAGCAACGTTTGAGTGGTGAAATGAAAGAGAAGGAGGAGCTCTTCATCTAACCTGACCTGCAGGAGGAACATTCAAACTGAGTGACATCACACACAGCATGTTAGCACAAGAGGGCTGAGCGCGGCTCTGATTGACAGGCCGTAAATGAAGAGAGGGAGGGATTATGAAACATGAGGTCATTAACGGTGGGAAGACAGGAGGAGACAGAGCACTGGAAAAAATCTAAATCTAGATCAGTCATTTTTTCTTAAAATAAGTGCATTTGTTCTCCAATTGAGGACGAAAGTGAGAAACTTTGCCAATGGAACAAGACAATTTACATTTAAAATAAGAAAAAACAATTGCATTGTCTTATTTCAAGTTCATATTATCTAATTATCTTATGTTAAGAGTAAAGATACTAATTGCATTGGAAAATCATCGTATTTACCTACTCAAATTAAGGGTGAATACACTTCATTTAAGACATTTTTACTTATTTCTAGATGGTTTTTGCAGTGAGGAGGAGATAGAAAGAGCACTGGAAAAAATCTAAATCTAGATCAGTCATTTTTTCTTCAAATAAGTGCATTTGTTCTTGGATTGAGGAGTTAAAAGAGACATTTTTCCGATGGAACAAGATAATTTACATTTAAAATAAGAAAAAACAATTGCATCGTCTTATTTCAAGTGCATTTATCTAAATATCTAAATGTGTGCACAGAGACACATTTGCAACGGTCAAATCTGTCTCTGTGCACGACCACGCCCCCCTGCGCAGAGGTTCTGCAACCGTTGTCGCGTACCTCAAAAAAATCCTGACTGCACGCCGGACGGTCGCAAACCGGCACAGACCTCAAGTGGAAGTGCGCAGACAAAAATCAGCTGTGATTGGTCCGTGGTACGCCTTTCTGGCTGTCTGTGTGGTCGTCCTTCTTGATTCGGTGCCGGGGCGCGCCATTTTGAAAGACTGAGGAATAACTACAATGGAAACCTATGACGAAAGGTTAATCGGTCTTTTTGTCAACTCCATTAACAGAACCTGTTCGTCTTTGATGTCTAGCAGCTCTAGATCCATCTCTGTGACTTCTCTGGATTTCTCCAATTGACTCCCCGTAGCGCTTTGGCGGGAAACCGCTGTGCGTCCCTAGATAATTTCTAGACCGACGGTGCAGAAGCAAACCAGCAAAACTGGTTCACGACCAGATACAAGCCACATTTGATGTGTGCAGTTGAAGAAGTATAATCTGCCCTTAAAATACTCATTCCATTGCAAGTCATCTCATTAATCTAATCAAATTAAGGGTAAATGCACCTAATTTGAGAAAATTTTGACTTAATTCTAGATCATTTTTTCCAGTGAGGAGGTACACTGAAAAAAATCGATATCTAGATAAGTCTTTTTTTTTTTTAAATAAGTGCATTTGTTCTCAGATTGAGGTAAGAGACATTTTGCCAAAAGAACAAAATAATTTACAATTAAAATAAGAAAACACAGTTGCATTGTCTTATTTCAAGTGCATTTTATGACTTAGACAGATTTTATTTGTCATTTTGTTTTACACCAGTGTTTGTTTCGAACAGCTCTCTGGACAATTTCATCTTTTTAAAAGTGCGGCCTTTGAAAAACAAAAAATAAATGAATAAAGAGATGTATAAGAACAGCAATATAAACATAAGACTGTAAATTTACACTTTTAACATTTTTTTATATATAAAATGATATAATATAATAAAATAAAATAAAATACAATAACCCATTTTACAAAACATTCAGCAACCTAATGGCAGTGGGGATTTAAATATTATCTAATTTTCTTATTTTAGGAATAAAACTACTAATTCCATTGGCAAACGATCTCATTTAGCTGCTCAGATCAAGGGAAAATAAACCTAATTTAAGACATTTTTCCGTATGCCTTTTCCCTTTTTTCCAGAGCAGAGGAGGCGTCGTACTCCTGTGAAAGCAGCCAGTGTGTTTGGGGGGCTGTGTAGGAAGGGGGGGATGAAGGGTGAACAGAGACGGCCTTCATGGTTCAGCCGCTTTGAATGGCCGCCATTTCAAAAAACGACTGGTGAAGATGGAGCTAAAACTAAATAAGTAAAACTTCCTTGAATTAAGTGCATTTGTTCTTGAATTGAGCAGGTGAGCGACATACTTTGCCAATTGAATTAGACAATTTACATTTGAAATAAGAAAAAAACAACTGCCGTCACTTTTTTTTAGGTGCATAATATCTGATTTTCTTATTTTAAGGCTAAAAAGACTCATTCCACTGGCAGATCGTCCCATTTACCCACTCAAATTAAGAGTAAATACACTTATTTTAAGGATATTTTACTCATTTTAGGATTGTTTTTGCAGTGTGGGACCCTTTTTCAACCTGGATCCCCGCTCTTTTTGGCCCTCACGTCCCTCCGTTGTCACACAAACCGCCTCAGCCGTATCTAGACCCACAGCTAGTTCCTGATTGGCCCTCTGGCGTTGTGGCGTGGAATAACATAGAGCAGACCACGCTTCAATATTGGGCAGAAATCAAAAATATCAGCCTGAAAACATCCGATCAGCTCCAGCAGGCTTCCCAGCAGCAGCCGACCCAGTTTGGATCAGTCTGACCCCCCCCCGCCCTCTGTGACGTTAAAGAGAACAAACCAACGCAGGCAGGCAGCAACCATCCAATCATGTGTCTCCTGTGAAAGTATTCACACCCTCAGACCTCTTTCTTATGTCATCACATGAAGTTTGACAGAATTGGGAAACAAAAGGAAAATAATTTAACTCTCTTTTTAAAAAATGGGGAAATGGCAGCCAGAAATCAAATGATGTTTTACTCAGTCCCCCCCAAAAAAAGCTTTAGAGCAAAGAAAAACAGCAGGAAGTTAATCTGGGTGGAAACGCCACGTGAGCCCAGAAAAAGGGATTCAGTCAGAGCACAAAACATCGTCTGAGGAGAAACACTCAGACTGACATTAGCCCCGTTTCCTCCACCCTGTAGAAACCGCGCAGAGATCGGGCCGAGAACCGAGGTGAACGCTTGAGTGTAAATGGCACGCACAACTGAACCGTACCGTGCCAGACCCGACCCAATCCCGCGGTTTAGTTCTGGCTCGGTTCTCAGATAACAAAGAACTCATGAGCAGACCGCCTCATCTCCTCACAGTCAGCCTCCGTAATCATTCCTAAAATCCTAGCTTCCCCACCGTGCCGCATGATTTCCAGTGATGATTCTGCTTAGCAGTGCGATGAACTTCAATGTCTGTCGTTGTTTCCTGCATCTGGAAGCCCTGATTAGACGATCATTTGTCAAGTAAATTCACCACAGGCTGCCTTCTTGGCCTGACTCTCCGCAAACGTCCGCCATGTTGGTTTGATTATTTCTATCTAGAGAGCAGTAGTACCGTAAATCGCCACTAGGAGGCGAGGAACTGTGCCAGTGTGATGTGTAAACGGTCGTTAGGAACCGAGCTCGGCACGGTTAACGGATGGGTTTTCAGAGGGTAGTGTAAATCGGGGCTACAGGGTGGTGGCAGCATCATGCTGCGGGGAAGCTGTTTGCCACATAAAGGATCCTCAGTGTTCAACGCGAAGATTTTCTGCCTCCTACCTTTCCTTGAAAGCCTTCTCAGCCATCTCCCGCGCCGCCTGGCGGACCTCCTCTGGAACGGCGTCCTTCTCAGCCTGGGAGACCTGGTAGACCTTGTGTCCGGCATCCAGGCGGTACGGCCCCCCTTTGCCTCCCAGTCCTGCGGTGTCTCTGCCGCCTGGAGGGGAAATCCCACAGTGAGGGGGAGGGAATAAGGCACAATGTTTAATGTGCATCTAGACCGGGGGTCATCAACCGATGGACTGCGGTCCAGGTCCCCACTTAGACCTGGACCTCCGGACATTTTAAGCAGCAACATGAATTAATGGCATTTTTGTTCGGATAAGGATTTTTATCAGGCACATCTTTGACAGCCTGGCTGCAGCTCTTCCAGTCACCTTAGAGCTACAGCTGGTTTACGCTCAGATGAGAAGCCGTGACACAGACGCTAGCCCTGCCGTTAAATCTGTAGATGGCGTCTTCAACCGTCAGGAAGGTGGATTATGAGAACCAGGCGTTCAAAGAGGAGCTGACTGACTGTTCTCCTGCAGCATGCAACACGTCCGATCTGTAAACCTGCTGCAAGTCTGTGGCCATCGTAAAAAGTGGAAACGTTAAACGCCACTATGATTCTAAACATAAAAGCTTAGAGGAAACTTTTCCAGAAGGAACAAATAATTGAACTGGGATCCCAGTCTGCTGGTTCTGCTGGTTCTGATGGTTCTGACGCGGTTCCTGACGGCTCCACAGGAGGGTTCGTTAACAGTGCAGTGGATATATCCGAAGTTTTTAGTTGTTTGTAAGGAAAAAAATGTTGATTTAGAAAAAGATCGCGTCGTCTTATGAGTTCAAAAGTTTTTTCACCGCACTGCAAAACATGGACATCTAAATACGTAATTTTAGCTTAAATTAAGTGCTTTTTACTTGAATTAAGGAGGTAAAAGACACTTGGCCAACGAAACAAGACAATTTACATTAAAAATAAAATAAAAAATTGCCCTGTCTTATTTCAAGTGCATATTATCTAATTATCTTATTTTACTGGTAAAAATACTCAATCTTCTATTGACAAATCATCTTATTTACCGACTCAAATTAAGGGGAAATACACTTTATTTAAGACATTTTTTTACCTATTTGTAGAGGATCTTTACACACTGCAAAAACGATCTAGAAATAAGTGAAAAATTCCTTAAATAAGTGTATTCACCCTTGATTTGAGTAGGTAAATGAAAAAGTTTGCCAATGGAGTTAGTATTTTTACTCTTAAAATAAGATAATTAGATAATATGCACTTGAAATAAGAGGATGCAATTGTGTTTTCTTATTTTAAGTGTAAATTATCTTGTTCCATTGGCAGAATGTCTCTTTTACCTCCTCAATTCAAGAACAAATGCACTTATTTTAAGAAAAAATTACTTATCTAGATTTAAAATTTTTGCAGTGCAGTGTGTGATCTTCTCATGGGGAAATGCATCGTAGTAAATGTTTTTGACATTACAGTTTTTATTAGCATTGACTTGTTAAAAGTCATTATTTTATCATTCTTTAGCTTGTTTGGTGCTTAAAGGCACAGCGTGGACTTTGTGACGTAAAGAGTTAACGCATATGAGTTATTTTAAATGATTCCTCAGGCCGATATAAAGCGGTTGACATATCAATGCTACCTGCAGGCCCCCCCTTTCTAATTATGGACTATGTAAGACGCACCGTCATTAGCCAGGTCATGTGACCTGAAAAAACGTATCGCTCTAAGGCCACACATCCCCACGGAGGGGACGGACTCCACGGAGCGCACAGTCCCCATGGAGGACCCCACCGGTCAGCCACCTGATGGGCTCCTCTGGTCAGAGCAGAAGGTGGAGAATTTCACCATCGCGGCGTTTTGTTTAGGAGTGAAGAACGGTGAGTTAGAAGAGCCGATCCAGAGATTGCTGAGCAGTAATTATTGCCAAGCTCTGATCGGTCAGCTGAACAGAATGATGAAGGTCTTCAGAGAACTGGGTCACCATGAGGTTTGAATCATGAGGAAACATAAAGAGCCTGAAATGATTCTCTCAGCAGAACATCCAGGATCAGCCGAGCTCGACCACAGCTGGAGCAGAAGGATCGAAAAATAAAACTAGTTGTTCTGAAAAGTGCATTTGTCTTTAATCTGAAGGGGATCTGCTAATGAAATGAACGTTATTGCCTTAAAATAAGACCATGGAGCCATTTTTCCTACTTAACTTCCGTAAAATTCCACTAATTTTATGGAAATTTTGTAATTTAGGCTCCTGTCACACTTTACCGATTTCTCCAGCGTCTGCCTGACGTCCCAGATTCTCCTAAAACGCTGCATACGCTTAACTTTTTATGGATTTTTTTCTATTTTGGGCGTATAGATAGAGGATTCTATCAGAACTTCTGTCCAACGACAGCCTTACTCAAAGCGCCCGGTCTGCAGAAAAAGATGTATTTGATGGCGGTATAAACCTAGCTGCTGTTCCACGCCCGCCAAAAAAATAAATAATAAAAAGGAAAATAAAATAAAAAGAAAGAGAAGGTTTCTGGTGTCAGCAGATTGAGCGTCATGTCTGCTAGGAAGTGTGTTGGTGGTGGGCGTGAACGCAGGGAGGATCCATCACTCACCTTCTGGCTCACCTTATGATGGGGATGAAGTCTGGAGGAGAACTGACGGTTTCCTCCTGTGAACCCCCTTTATACCAAAACGCTGCCAATACGCCATTATACAGTAGCTGGAAGGTAGAAACACGTTCAGCGCTCGTCTGGAACACGGCAGATACGCTGATATGTGGGAGAGAAGTTCTTGATAAGTTACGCAGAGGTTTAGGATCAGCTAGACGCCACGACTGATGAGGAACTGATGCTGAACGGATGTCAACCATCAGATAACTGACCTGGAACTGATGGATCACGCTGGCAGATGATGGCGTACGTACTCGCTGTACGTCGACATACTTCAGCCTGTTTCAGCCTGTTTCAGCGTGCTCATAACTACACTTAATTTAAGACATTTTTACTCATTTTAGATCATTTTTGCAGTGTGTCTGAATCACACGCTTGCACTGCAAAAACCATCTAGAAATACATTAAAATGTCTCAAATTAAGTGTATTTACCTTTAATCTGAGCAGGTAAATAAGATCATCTGCCAATGGAATAAGCATTTTTTAATATTAAAATAAGATAATTAGATAATATGCACTTGAAATAAGAACATTGCGATTTTTTTTTTTCTTATTTTAAATGTAAATGATCTTGTTCCATCAGCAAAGTGTCTCACTTTCCTCCTCAATAAAAGACCAAATGCACTTATTTTAATAAAGACTGACTTATTTAGATCTCATGCAGGTGACAGCTGCCCAGTAAGGACTGGGGCGTAGCGCCATCAGGTGGTTACCTGTGCCTCCGGACCACTGGTTGCCCCCCACATGGGGAGCGTTGCTGGGGTCCAGCTTGCCGTGTTTTGGTGCAGAAACGTCCAGGCCGCTGTCCCTCTGGATGGTGATCTGGAAGGAAGGAGTTTGATTTATTTCTGGATCAACTATTATTAAAGTTTATCTCATTAAGGATGAAATAACTGATCCGTTTTTCTCTATTCAGCTCAAATGATTATGAGGACTTTGTCGTTTATCTGCGCCCTGCGATGCAGCGACGGCCGACCTGAGGGGAGTCGTTTCTGAGGCTCTGAGGTCGGAGCAGGAAGACGGAGACGCCTCCGTGTTAAACAGTCTGAGTTTGGCCCAAAGCTGCCGGTCAGAACCAGAACAGGGAAGAGAGCGGCGGTTCAGAGCGTCGCTCCCCTGGATCAGCTGCTTTCCCACAAACTGAGGGAATCTTTCAGATTCTCCTAAATCCCTGGATGGCTCCCAGAGCCACCTGCAGGTCTCTGAGCTTCCATTGATGCTTCTTCCAAAGTGACAGAAAATTAACAGAGACTCTTCAGACAGAGAAGCTCAGCTGGAAAAACGCTGCAAATATTTACATCTTAGCACATTAATCAGCTGATGAATTAAAAACGTCCAATAATCATCAATCAACTGCAAAAAAAAACAACTTCAGCTACTTTGGCTGGGCCTAACATAGATTACAATAGAACAGAATAGAATCAAATTCAAATAAATAAATAAAACATCATGGAAACAATGACATAAAATAACAAAGTACAATTGCATAAATAAATAGAATCATCTAGAATAGTGGTTCCCAACCTTTATTTCTTGAAGCCCCCCCCCGCTGAAGTCCAAGACAAGCCAAGCCCCCCCAAGCCTTACACAGGCCCGCACAAACGTATCAAAAGATTAAAGTGATTTGTAATGAATATTCATTTATTTAAAAAATAAAGAATAAATGGCAGCTATGTCATTTTATTCTTATTATTTTTGACTACGAAGTCCAAAAAAGAGAGCTAACATAATAACTTCAAACCTAAGCTTAACTTTCATCAGCATGTCCACATTTTCAATATATTTTCCAGTTCTAATTTTCAAACATGCATAAAGTAAAAACAAAAAAATAAACAGTCCCATGTGATTAAACACACACAACTACTGGCTTAAAAAATAAAATCATACAACAGTTTCAGAAACCAGTACTAAACTTACAACTTGTTTTACTTCTTATTTGTTCAGTTGCTAATGGGTACCTTCAGCCTGCATATTTCTGACCAGGGATGCGATGTCAGGTCTGATTGTTGTGACTTAAGTCCTGGTGAACATCCAGTCTGTTTCTGACTTTAGTTTTTATTGTTAACAGCGCGCTGAAAGCTGCTTCAGACAGGTGCTAAATGGGAGAATAACCCTGGTTGTTGCGTGTTTGGCCAGTGTGGGAGCGACAGCATGTCCTTTGGCAATCCAGAACTTTTTTAATCCGTTTTCCTGGAAATATCTTTTGGACACGGAATCAGCTTGAAGGTCACAAAGCTCATCTTTGCAGCCGATGTATTCTACGTCCTTCAGGGTGGAAACGTAGGGGTCCAACACCCATCATTCTCTGGATAAATACTGGTCGATGTCGGCAAAGCGGCTCTGAATCTCATCGCGGAGAAGGTTCATGTGCCGCGTAAACTCCGTGCACAAAGACGCTCGCACGGCGCCGCCAGACTATTTCAGCAGCAGCGGGAAAAGCTGCAAGTCCGCCTATGACATTTTAGAGACTCTGTATTCCAGTTTGCGCACAAAAGCGTCCAGGGCGTTTTTGCAAAGCGTGATTTTGGATTCCGGCCCCTGCATCTGCTTGTTTGTATCATTGAATAAAGTGAATGTGTCTGCCAGCTAAGCCGCTTTGATCCAAAACGCGTCAGTCGTTGTTCAAAGAGTGGCCGATTGTGATCTTGGATGAATTCTTTTACTTTTTCTTGTAGCTGAATAAAACGCACAAGCGAGTCCAGGCGACAGCCACCTCACCTCGGTGTGTAGCAGCAGCGTTCGATGCGCTTCGTCCTCGCACAGCTGGGCTAAAGTCTTTTATTAGAAGGGCGAGCTTTGATGAAGTTTACAACTTTAACTACAGTTGACTGCAGGTGCTGGTCAGAAATAGCCAAAAATGATTCAACCTTAGACCAAAATATTTAACACAATTTATAAATATTGTAAAATCGATTTGGGTGTGCAGATTTTTTAAATATGATCACAACCATAATTTTCATCACCTCAAAGCAGACAAAGCTCTGCGCCCCCCAGTGATCTCTGGCGCCCCCCCTAGGGGGGTTTCCCAGGTTTGGAATCACTGCTCTAGAATAGAAAAGAATAAAATAGAGAATGAAATGAATCCAAATAGAATCAAGGAGGATAAGATAAAAGAGAATGAAAAAAGACTAAAATAGAATACAAAAAGAATTAAGGAGAAATTTAACAGAACAAAATAGAAGTGAATAAAATAGAAATGTATAAAATAGAAAAACAAAAAAATAATAGAATATAATTAGAATAGCAGAGAAAAAGAGATTCATCTAGAGTAGAACAGAATAATCTGATCTGATTTGTCTACTCAAATTAAGGGTAAATACACGTGAATTGAAGGAAGTTTGACTCCTTTCTGTAACGTTTTCCAGTGTAGGGTCTATGTTTTCCAAAGCGAAGTGTTTGTTCTTCAGTGGGAACTTGGAATGACCCCGGCCGTTCTGAAAGGACTCATTTCAAAGCATCACTCATCATTTTCTTTTATCCCCTGAGTGGAATATTCACCACCTTCATTCTCTAACGAGGAACCGAGTCCCCGGCGCGTCGTTCTGTCAGCGGCACAACAATCCGATCCATGTAAAGCACGATGACAAGTGTGGATTACTGGAACAAGATGGTGCTGAGGAAATCCTGCTGGCTCAGTTTCCCGTCTGATTGATGGAGTTTATGGACAGAGGGATTTCAGGAAGCGGCCGGCGCTGTTGGTTCTATCTTTGGCATGGGCTGGGGGGGCGCTGGCTTGTGTTTTTTTTTTAGCATGATCAGAGTCGCGTTTCGAAGGACTTTCTCAGCATATGTTGACTCAGAGCAGCGAAGCGTTTGATGCCACTTTCCCGGCAGCACAGCCCATGTTTAATGGAGGAGAATCAGCCGGATTTGTTCTGTGAGTCAGTAACACCCGGATCAAGTTCACAGAGAGCTGCTGACGGTGACCTCTGACCCCTTACCTAACCACACATCTCTCTGGTTGCTGAGCCCGATTCAGCCGCCTGCTCACACACTTCCTGTTGATTGTTGCTAAAGCTGGAGATGAGCAACGCTCTGTTGCTGCTCAGCAACGCTTACTGCCCCGAACACACAGGACCGGTTAGATAACCTTTAACCCCACCAAGTTTACCATTTACAGCCTTTAGAGGAAAAGTCCGGTCAGCGAGGATGGATCCTTATTTATGCCTAAAACTAATATGTTTGCTGTGATTTAATGAATTTAGTGTTAATCAGTAAAAAAAAAATAATAATTTTCATTGCGATCACCGAGTCTGGGAGCGGCCATTTTTGCCCAAATATAGTAGCCCCTCCCTCCTGCCATCTTCCAGCAGTGACGTCACGGTGCGGTAAGCCTAGCGCCATTCTCCCCGCTTTCCAAGCTAAATCAATGGGAACTACTAGACACATCTGCCATCAACAACAATTATTGAAGATTTCCAGAGGACTTCACCATTGAAATTCACCAGAGCTATAGTGAAACTGACAATGCCCACGTGCATGGCAGCTGGATGCTGGAATACATCGGGTAAAAGTGAAAAAAAGAGTTATTCCACCTTTCTGATTCCTGATCGTCCACGGACAGGTTGGTCGTTGGATCGCCAACTTGAAGAGGGAGGATTTGCCATCGAACTTCTGGCCAGAGAAAAAACCCGTAATATGTAGCCAACATTTGGAAGAAGAATGTTTTCAAGATGACTTGGATAATAGCGCGTTGTGACAAACACCAGATACAGCACTGGGACTTGATCAACAGCCGATACCGCACCGTGACAATGTCACTAACCAGTAGGTGGCAGTAGTGTTCTTTGACAAACATGGATGCCTACAGTAAAGCACATTCACATGAAAATTACTCTGAATTAAAAACACTGATCATTTATTGAAGAGGATGGAATCATTTCAGATTTAAAGAACTTTCAGAAGTTTGGATTCTGAATATGAGCGACTTTTCCTTTAAGAAAGATGTCATGTAACTTTAAAAAATTGATATCAGAGCCACGCATCAAAGGTTTCTGCCTCCGATTAGACGTTTCTACCAAAGTAGACGTCTTCATTCCTTCTAACAGGATGATGTCACCGGAGCCACCGGTAAATAACCAGTTAATGGTCACAGCAGATACACAGACGGAGAAATAAATAAGAACTGGGACGGCAAATGGAACTGGGATGTGTAGGAATCAGTCTGTCAGTCCTCCATCGCATCTTTCTTTGCTTCAACCACTGAGGCTCCCTGCGTCTCTCCTCTGTGGTCCTCGCCTGCCTGGTATGTAGGATTAATAGCCTCATAAATCTGGGATTCTGCTTTAAAGACAGAGCTGCGCCGTGTGCGTGTGGAACCAGGCCTAATTCAGTGATCATGTGTCTACATATAGACCTCAGAGTGTTTGTCAGCATCAGGCATGTCCACACATGAATGTTTGAGCGTATAGGAGGGTAACAAGTACAGGATGGTGTGATTCAGTCTGGGACAATGTGTGTGGAGGACATCTTTTAGCACGAGAAGAGATACAGTTAAACTGATTTATAGCTTTATACTCCATAGCTAAAACACTGAAGCATAAACAGCTTTCAGCTGTACGTCCACAGCTACTAAAACTAAATAAACACAGAGGGACTCCGCTAAGAGGGATTTCCCTCTCTTACTTCTGGCGGCGCAGAGAATTTGACCTCATCTTCCACGTCGCCATGTTAGCTGGAGATTTTATGCAGGTGTTAATACATGCAGAGTAGAGTAACTTCTGGAGGTCCTGTCATGTCTTTGAAGAATTTGAACCATTTTTGTGTTTTTTACTTTTTAGGATGAAGGAGGCTAAATTTACAGCTGTCTTTGCAGTGATGCC